TGCTATGTGCTCCCTTTTTGCCAAAAATAAATGCTTAAAATTTTAAAAACAAACAGACATAAGCCTGCAAATGAACCATTGCCTGAAAGAAAGCTATTCAGGGGCAGCTTGACCAGCAGCTTTCCTTCTCATGGTGACAGGCTCGACTAACCTTTTAAAGCCTATTTAGGAGCTTTCCCACAGCTGGAGTCAGTGGCTCCTTCAGAGCACAGGGGAAATCATAAAAAGGAATTCATTTAAAAGCAATTCCAAAACCAGCATTCATGAAAATCACAGTGGAAAGTGACCTATCCACCACGTATGAGATAAAACCATGAGCTTCTTAAATCAGAAATCAAATTTCCCATTGGTGTGAAAACTTTTACCCACTTTTCCAAAGCCCCTGTCCTTGAAGATAATTTTGATAACTGCAAGGAAAGTCGCAAACATCAAAATAAAAGCAGTTGTTGAGACACGTGTGTGTGCCCCATGCTCTATCTGCCTATTAAACTAGAGATATGGGACAGAGATGATTTAAGTCATCACCATCAGAATCATGAAAACTCGGGCATAAACTAAAGACACAGCTCAGTGCTATAGTGCTGGCTTAGCTTACCAGGGACCGTTGGTTGTCAGCACTAAAGGAAAGACATTGATAAGCTGATGTTTGTCCAAAGCAGACGTGATTATCTTGGTTCAAATCAAGGCCTCACCACGTACTGGCTGTGTCACTGAGACAGCTACTTAATTTCTCTTTAAGGTTGGTATAAAAAGAGGATTAATGTATAAAGTGTGCTAACACTGGCTCATTCAAAGTAGTGCTCTCGATGTATTAGCTTTAGTAGCCTTTCAAGGCACATATTTCAATCTGCCACTAAATGTGTAAGTTGAAGGTGTGTTCATTCATCTTGTTTCGAGATCTCAAGAGATTTTGCTACTGTTTCTGAAAGGAGAATTCTGTCTTTAATGTGGGAAGGTCTTTCAAAGGAATGTAAGACTGAAGTTTTCAAAAGAGAATGGTTTAATATGTGTAATTATATTTCTTCTACAACTTTTCTCTAACCCTAAAGGCATGATTAAAGAGAAATTTGCGTTATATTTCATTTCATGGTTTTCTTTGCCACTCTTGTCTAATATTGTCTGTTTGCCCTCTGCTTTGGCTGCCTCTGCCACTACTCTATTTCTTTTCTAATATTTTCTATGTCCTTATCCTTTGACTGTCTCTACTATTACTGAGGAGCTCTTGCAAAGAGCTCATGCCTCCAGTTTCTCTGTTGTCCATACTCTTATACTATATACGTATAGTATAAGAGACGATATTAAGATGCGTGTGTGCCCCATGCTCTCATGCTCTGTCCACCTATTAAACTAGAGATGTGGGACAGAGATGATTTAAGTCATCACCATCAGAATCATGAAAACTCGGGCATAAACTAAAGACACAGCTTATATATATATATATATATATATAAACAGTAATGGAGAACAAACCCTGGCCCTTGAACCTGTTAAGCAAACACTGTGCTGCTGAGCGACACTAACTAGAGATGAATGTCTTCAAGTGTCAGTTTATTTCCTGTACTACTTAGCTCCCAAATTCCTTCAGTTCCCTATCTTCACAACCTAATATGTAAGGCCCTATCGAATTTGACTATTACTTAATGTTCCTCTTACAATAATACCTCTTATAAGTTCAGTGCTCTATTACAGCAGTCCATCATGAACACTTTTGTTCCCAACACACATTTGGCCGTCTTCACTGTCAAAGACAAGATTCAGAATCACTTAAGAGACACCCTTTGCATGCATTTGGGGGTTTCCAAAGAAGACTGAAGAGAAAAGGTCCACATTTAAATGTGCAGCAGCATCTCATGAAGGGCCCAGACTGAAGAAAAGTAAAAAGGAGAAAGCCATTTGAGCACCAGGATTCCTGCCTGTTTCCTGTTCCACGTCCAAGTGAGCACCTTCTGCTCCCACAGAAGCGAGCTGCTCCTGCTGCTCCAGGTCTCTGCAGTAACAGCCTGCATCCCCTAACCCATGAGGTGAAAACCTGTCCTCCTTCGGTTGCTTCTTGTCCCAGTGAGGAGAAAACTGGCTATATTGACAAAATTGTTACTGAAAAGAAGAGATGCTGCTGTGGTGGACATGGTTCATTGATTTGTGGGATTCATGTTGAAGAGTTTGAAGCTGTGGGCTAGGGAGGTCCTAGAATGTTGTAAAGATAGGAAAGCAGAGATTATGGGCTATTCCCTGGGAGTTCAGAAGATTGCAGTGGCAAATGAAATACAGGGAGTAATGGTTTCAGAAGAGGACACAATTTGATAGAAGCTTGTCAGTCAGGTTCTCTACAGGAACAGAATCAAGACAAACACACACACACACACACACACACACACACACACACACATCAGAATTTATTACATGAGCTTTTAAATAGTAATGACAGTCAAATCACATTTCAGATGCTAAGAACATGACATTGGGTCCTTTGAGGTTGGGTGCCTCAACAGTCAGAATAGTCCCAGAATAGCTCTCTCTCACTAGGGAATGGTGACCAGTAGTTACTCAATCCACAAAGCAGGGTACCTCGGTAGTCCCAGTTTGGTACTGGAAACCTGGAAAGTTCCCGAGATCCTTGTCCAGGATGAAAGCTTGGAAGTGCTGAATCTGCTACTGGTTGTGATGGGAAAAGGGGTGGGAGCAGCAACAGGGCCAATGAACTTGGCCAGCAAGAGGGAAGGTCAAGTGAGTAAGCAGCATGCAAGAGAAACTTCCTTCTGAAACTATTGTCCTCTATTGCTACCCGAAGGTGACCAGCCTTCCCATATCAAATCAGTTCTTCAGGTGTGGCTCACTACTGAGCTGATTATTAACTGTGGCAAATTGACATCAAAACCAACCATTTTAAAGACACTGATTGTTTCACCTGTGTACTGTAAAATTGAATGAGGCGAAATTCAAAAGTCATGGACTAAGGTGTTTGGCAGAAGAAATTTCAAGACAGTGTAACATCCAGGCAGTGGCATGGTTATTACTTATTTCGTTATGGATCTGCAGTGGGAAAGAGTGGAAGTGGATTCAGTCTGAGAGAGGGAAGCAGAGCTTATGTGGAAAAGGTGCCATTCTGTCAAGGAGAGCAGTGTGATCCTAGAGAAAATTGACAGCCATGTGCACTTTGTCCAGAAAGGGAGCTTGAGCCTCGTTAAAGCTGGGGATAGGTTCAGAAGTTACCTACAAGTGGCTAGCCATCCACCAAAGTATTACAAAAATACACTTTATCTCTGTAGATTCCAAAGAGCCCTCAATATGCAGTGTTTGGGGAGCTTTCTAAGAGATGAACACGGCTTCAACAAAAATACATTTATAGCTTTAGGAATTATATGGCAGGAAAAGGAATATTAGATCAACACATATTTCATATCTTAATTGTGCAGCTTATTATATATTAATCTGTTCAAATAATACCAGAAAGGTAAAAAACAAAAAACAAACAAACAAAAAAAACTGTCTTTGGGGAAGAGCAGGTACTTTAGGAATTGCAATTCAGAAGACATCAGGGATTTAGGTAGCTGTCAACCAATGTTCCTTCAAGCAAGGTAAGCAAGTGGGAGCTTAAATGGGACACTGAAGGCTGAGAAAGATCAGGGGACACAGAACACGACAGAAAACAGATATATGAACAGAGTGGTAGTGTCCATAAGTCAAGCCTGAGGACATCTCGACCCTCTGGGCACAGTAGAGTCCAGCATTCCGATGCTTGTGATTAGAGTGAAAGTGACCATATTCTAGGCAGCAGCTGGGACTGTGTGTAAGTGCTGCTTAATAGTTTCCATTCTGAAAAACTTTCTTTCTTGCATTACATTTTTCTTTTGAATTTCAGTCAATCCATTAGTAACACTGTTAAGAGTTTTAAATTAGGTATTGAAATTTATCAAAATTCTCCATATAACCTTATTTTGCTACATTTTCACGTGTACAACTTTTCTTACAGAACAATGGCTTCTCGCTGCACATTTCTTGTATTCTGAGCATCAACATCTATTTTTCTTTACATTGGAAGCAACACTATCATTTCTAATTCCATGTATTTGTATGCTACTGGATCCAGTCTTGGCACCAGTATGGAGAATACCACAAAGGATGAGCCAGTGGGTACCTTGCAAATGTGAAGTCCCTGATGACCAAGATTTGCTCCAGTGGGCACTTGACCCATTTAGAAATAATGGTTCACAATAGGCATTTGCTATGATTTTTGCAACAAACATTTATTGGATATGATAGTGATGAGATTTAAAGACTTGAATTTGTCACTGCAGTAAGATAAAATTTTTTCAAACTATATAACCAACTGAGAGAGGGAGCTTAGTGATTTTAAGAGAAAATGAGCCTTGATGATATCTAGTACCATCTACCAATGTTCAGCTCTACTTTTGGACTTCCCGGTAATATGAATCACTATGGCTTCTCTTTGGCCACGTTAGTTTAGATCAAGTTTTCCTATTTGTAGTCAGAAGAGGCCTGACTTCATGTTGAGCTGTGTGTGTGTGTGTGTGTGTGTGTGTGTGTGTGTGTGTGTGTGTGTGTGTAACTATACTCTCCAAACCTTACTCTATTTCCATCTGAGTTTATGGGTAAGATTTTTCTTTTCATTCTCAAACAGTTTAGCGACTCCTCAAAGATACATACTTATATAAAAAATAAATGAAAAGACCTTCTTTGATACCAAGAGGGAAAGAGAAAAGAAAAGTTGCAGAATCTTCCAATTCTGAAAATGTTTACAAATTCCTATATCCAAACTACACATCTTTATTCTAAACGGGGAGGGATTGTTCTGCAACAACCTGAGGCCATTTAAATTTCTCTCTGGAAAACTACATTCTGACAAAGAGCTGAGTTACCTACTCACTTTATAGTACTGGGCATCAAACACAGGGCTTTCAACATAGTGCTACCATATTTCACTCTGGTCTCCCCAGTCTTTAGGATCTCTGTTGAAAGAATTCAGACAAGCACAAAAAACGCACTGTAGAAGACAGGCAGAGTTTATTACAAGGTAAAAAGAGCCATTTTTGAGGATGAGGAGGGCAATGGCCAAAGTGGCCACTGGGGGTGGGGTGGGCATAGGGGAACCTCAAGGTGAAAGTGGACAGTGGACAGAGAGACTACAGTACTGACCTAAATTTTTAGGTATGCTCTGTATTATTTCTTTGAGTCCTTAGAACCGAGGGCTTCCTGGGCCTTTTCTTTCCCAGTTGACTAACAGGCTCATCTGGATTTAACTCTTAAGGGAGGTCAGGGCACCTTTTGTTTTTTATTAGAAACACTCACCAGACAGTAATCTTGGGATCTTTTCAACAGTTCCACCAAGATCTCAAATCCCAGTCTTTTGGCTACTAATCAGAGTTCCACAGTTTGCGTTCCTCATTTTACACGATGATTATAAAGGGTCCAAACTCAGTGATCTTTAATCCTACTACTGCTAGAGCTCCACCCCTGAGCTATGTAGAATTTCAATGTGTAATCTCTCTTTTTTTTTTTGCCTCTTTTGTCTCTCCAGAAGGCCTGGCCTGCCTTCCTTGCTTCCCTCCTTCCTTTCCTAGTCTCACTCACTATGCTGGAGAACAAATGCAAGAATTTCATTGATATTTAAATTCAGTCAAAATTCAGTTGAAACTGGGTGTTCTGGATAATGCTGTGCAGAAGACTGAGGTAAGAAAAGGGTGACTACCAGTTTCAGGCCAGTCTGGGCTACAGTGAGAACTAACTGTCTCAGATGAACTTAGCCACAACAGCAACAACAAATTAGTCAGTCACACCTAGCTGAAATTAACCAGTCAAATACTGGCTAAAATTTCTCTCTCTCTCTGTGAGCTATTATGTATATGTGTATGCTTATATGTATATATGTTGATGAGCCTGTGTGCATACGTGTATTCATGCATGGGGGAGGCAAATATCGATACCAGGTACTTTGCTCAGTTTCCGCCTTATTTGATGAGACAAGGTCTCACAGAACCTGGAGCTCAGCTGATTTGGCTAGACTGTGTGGCCAGCAAGAATCCTCCCACTCTGCCTCCCAAATGCTGGTATTACAGATATACACAGCCATGTCTGCTTGTTTTTCTTTTCTTTTTTGCCATGTGGGTTACAGGAATCTAAACTCGGGTCTTTATGCTTCTGCTGCATCCCTAGACCGAATACTTGTTTAAATTTAAGTCAGTTAAGTATTTGTTCCAGATAGGCAAAACATACATTCATACAAATATTTTCCATATTATAATTCTTTATTTTCTTCCTCTTCGATTAAATTCTTAAGGACTTTAATAAAACAAGAATTCTAAAAATAATGTGAAAATAAAAACAAAACAAACCCACAATAAATACAAATTGAAAGAAGTTTGGGGAGTAAGCCTGAACCACAAATATTTGGAGAAAAAATTCAATGTGTAAATAAAATAAACTGTCAGAAAAGTAAAGAGATTTTAATGAGACAACTATAGTATAATCTGTCCTATGAGCCTGTCACATCAATGGCCCTAATGTGTTACAGCTCTGCTGTCTGTCTAGACTTGGCCATGTGAATCACATTGTCTGTGGTGATATTGTGTTCCCCAAAATATTGTGCACCCTAATAAACTTACCTGGGGTCAGAGAACAGAACAGCCACTAGATAGACATAGAGGCCAGAAAATGGTGGCACACACGCCTTTAATCCTAGCATTCTGAAGGCAGAGATCCATCTGGATCTCTGTGAGTTTAAAGCCACACTAGAAAGAGCCAGGCATGGTGACTCACGCCTTTAATCCCAGGAAGTGAGCCTTTAATCCGAGGAAGTGATGGCAGAAAGCAGAAAGGTATACAAGGCGTGAAAACCAGGAACTAGCTGGTTAAGTTTTTAGGCTTTTGAGCAGCATAGTTCAGCTGAGAGGCATCCAGTCTGAGGAAATAGCAAGTCTGAGGAATTGGCAAGGTAAGGAAGCTATGGCTTGTTCTGCTTCTCTGATCTTCCAGCATTCACCCCAACACCTGGCTTCCGGTTTGATTTTATTAATAAGAACTTTTAAGGTTCGTGCTACAATTGTCCTTTTTTTTTTTAGCAAACATGGAAGTTCAAGCTTGGCAAACTCTTGCACCCTGGTTTGCTCTTAGACTGTTCTCTTTCAGGGCAGGAAGCACAGCTGAGCCTACCAGAAGACAAGAGACCACCCAGAGCATGAAAAGCCAGTTCACAGAACCAAGAAAAATGAATCATAAACCTTGAGTTGTTTTTTTTTTTTTTTTTTGGTTTTTCGAGACAGGGTTTCTCTGTGTAGCTTTGCGCCTTTCCTGGATCTCGCTCTGTAGACCAGGCTGGCCTCGAACTCACAGAGATCCGCCTGGCTCTGCCTCCCGAGTGCTGGGATTAAAGGCGTGCGCCACCACCGCCCGGCTTGAGTTATTTTTATTTTGAGACAAGGTCTTGTTATGTGGTCCAGGGTGGTCTTGAACTGGTAATTCTCCAGCCTGAGCCTCCCAGATGCTGGAATAAACTCTTAAACACCTGAGCTTTGTGGTACTTGGTTATGCAATAATGGAAAATGCCTAACTTTCTACAATGTAGTAGAGCAAATACATAAACAAATCTATGTTTACTATGAAAACAATTAAGGTTTATAAGCAACATTATCAAAACTGCTGTACTCTTGTAACTCTGGACTCACAATTCTTTACACAGACTTCAGCCCATTAAAATACCTTATAATGCTCAGTATTTTACTGCTACCCTAAACATTCTATATAGTGACTGTAGCAATCTAAACAATGAGCTAAGCACATGATAAATATTTTTATTTTTAAACAATGAATTGTATGTTTGTCATATAAAAGATGAGATTTAATCACCAGATTTTAAAAAATAACTACATTTGTCAAAATCATGTTTTTTACAGAAGTCAATGTTCTCTAAATCCGTAGCTTCATCTATCCCATAGCTTTTACAGATTCATAATCTCTTGAATACATTTCCAATACCATTTAAAAATAAAACTTCATGAAAGATATTTTCATTTAACACATTAAAACTTAACAAGTTACAGTACAACTGTTCAGCTCTCCAGGTGCCACTGGAAACTTTTCAGCCAAATGTTGGAGGATTAATTCTCCGTATTTACTTTTATTAAAAACAGGTTTCTGGTAGTGAGAACAAATAATCTCTCATTTGTTGCCTGAAAGCCTAAAATAGGATCATTGGTTTCCAGGCTTGCTACTTGCTGCTTAGCAACCTGCCCCACATGCCGGCCTTCCTTTCTGTTGTAAAGCACAGTGGACATGGGAGTAGGCTGCCGATAGATGAATACGCGGCGAAGGCACTCACAAAGGGCTGCATAGGAATAATCTGGAGAACAGGCAAAAAATTTCTTGTCTCTCTTTGATGCTTGGACGTAACCTGACAAGAATATAAGGAGGAAAAAAAGAACTGTATGTTAAACTGATGAGCGAAAAGTCACGATTGAACACTTACTATTTTACAGTATCCATGAAAAATTTAAATACTTAAGTAAAACATATACCACTAATAGTCAACAGTGGATGAATTCAGTACCATTAACACTAAGCCACAATTCCTTCTAAAAAGTGCAAAAGTACAAGCTTAATTTAGTTACTAAGGAACAAAACAGGGATTCTCTTCAACAAAAGCATAATACAGTTCTATTTAATTTCTGTGAGATAAAATAATAAAAATCTGAAATTTTAAATACTAAATATACAAAAACTTAAATGCCTCACTTAAAAGCAAAAAACTTAAAATGACATGTTAATTTTTTTTTTTTTATTAAATGAAGATGACACTAGATGATAGAAAGGCCTCCCACGCCCACAGACTGGCAGAATTAGTACTGTGAAATGGCTCTATTAGTGAAAGTGGTTTATAGTTTACAAAAGATCCTTATCAAATTCTAATGACATTCTTTACAGAAACAGATAAAACAACCCTGGAATTCCTATGGAAGCACAAAGGACCCTAAATAGCCAAAGAAATTCTAAGCAGAAAGAAATGGCTAGGAGTTATTACAGTACTTATTGATTGCAAGCTATACTATAGAGCCAGAGAACAAAAGCAGCACAACACAGACACAAAACCAGATGTACAGACAAGTGGAATGGTATAGAGGGCCCATAAATAAATAAGCACAGCCAAAGCAACCTAACTGACAACAAAGGTGTCACTAACAAACATTAGAAATCCTACAGCCTCTAGAACAAGTGATCTTGGGAAACAGGGTAGCCACATGGAGAAGAATGAAGAAACAATTCCAAGTGGATCAAAAACTTTAAGACCTGAAATTCAGAAACTAGTACAGAAAAACATGTAAAACAACAACTGATAAGTAAAGGGAGGACTTTCTGGGAAAGACTACAATAAGCTCAAGAAATAAAACCAAAAATGCCATTGGATAATGTGGAATTAAAAAGGCAATGCACAGTAGAGAAAACAATTGTGAGAAGACATAGCCTACAGAGTGGGAGACTATCTTTGCTTTCAATATATTGGAGAGATGATTTGTATCCAGAATACATAAAGAAGTCATAACTACCCCAAACCCAAACAATTCCAGTGTATAAATCAATATATCAGAGAGAAGATTTGTATCCAGAATACATAAAGAAGTCATAACTACCCCAAACCCAAACAATTCCAGTGTATAAATGAGTGATGAAATGAACAGGTAGTTCTCAAAAGTGAAAGCACAAATTTCCAGTAGACATAAAAAATGTTCAACATCTTTAATGTGGACATTCAAATAGACCTCCATTGAGATTCTACCTGTGTATTCTCAGGATAGCTGGTATTAAGAGAACGAAGGACAATAAATGTTAGAAGAATGTGGAGAAAGAAGACCCTTCACTTCACTGTTGATGGGTGTGCACACTGGTGCAGACACTATGGAAATCAGCACAACCTGAAAAATAGAACTACCATATGATCCAGTTATAGCTGGTCATATAATGGAAGAAACCAAAGTTAGCAAACCAGGAATGATTACACACCTATGTTTATTACAACACTATTCACAGAAGTGAAGATATAGAATTAGCTTAGATACCCAACAGATGAATGCATAGAGAAAATATGATACATACTCACAAAAATATGGTGTTTTATTCACCTGTAAAGAACAAAATATAGGTTGGAGAGATGGCTCAGAGGTTAAGAGCACTGGCTGCTCTTCCAGAAGTCCTGAATTCAATTCCCATTAACCACATGGTAGCTCACAACCATCTATACTGAGATCTGATGCTCTCTTCTGGCATAAGGTCATACATGCAGATAGAGCACTCATATATACACAAAATAAATAAATAACTCTTGCCAGACAGTGGTGGCACACGCCTTTAATCCTAGCACTCTGTGAGTCTAAGGCCAGCCTGGTCTACAGAGAGAGATCCAGGACAGGCACCAAAACTACACAGCAGCCTGGTCTACAGAGAGAGATCCAGGACAGGCACCAAAACTACACAGAGAAGCCCTGTCTCAAAAAACAAATGAACAAAATTATGTCATCTACAAGGGAAAAGATGTGAATGGAGATTACTATGCTAAATGAAATCAGTCAGATTCAGAAAGACAAATACTGCATGTTTCTTTCACATACCAACTCTAGATTTAAACACATACATTACACAAACACACACACACAAATATATGTAAATACAAAGAAAGATAGAAAGGTCAGACAGATGACAGTGTAGGGAGAGGAAGGGTTCTAAAGTGAGTGGGAAGTAAAGAAGGAAGGATAAGGGAGGAAACAAAATATCACAGTTTTCTCATATGCAAATTCTAGGTTTAAATGCAAACATGTATACTTATATATTTATATATATATGTTTATATATGCAAAAGTAAGTAAAGCCAAGAGGCAAAAGCTGGTCAATACTGCTTTTAAAATATTAGGTAAGATGTGAAGATGGAAAAGAGAAGATGTAGGGATCTATCTGAGTAGATGAACATAAGCTGTCCAGGCAACTTTGATAGTAATGCACATAATAACTCAAGTACTATCTAACATAAAATTGATTGAACTTAGGATCAAGCACAGCAGAATTCATTTGCAAGAGGGTTTTGACATGCAGTTGAAGACTCTGAGCATCTAAAGGTGACCTGGACGAACTTTGCTCTTCCTGAAGGAAGATAATTACAAAAGAGGAATTACAGTAGAGGCCTGAAATTGTGTGATTAATTAATCCATCAAACCTCTTAGCATTTCAAGTCATACAAATCCACTTAGAGTCTGAGTGAAGCAGTTTAGTCATAAGTGTGACGTGACAAACTTCCTCATCAATTAGTTGCACATATATAGGCATTAAAACCCACAATTTTACATTTTTGCTGCCAATTTAAAATTAGCTTACAATAAAGCAATCACTGTAGTTAAATAGCATAACAGAATTCCCACACAATATGGATATATTTTGGCTTAAAACCAATGATTGCATAGTCTATTGTTACATACTTTAAATTTTTTTCGAGGTGTGGTTTTAAAACAAATATTTTTAATAATAAATTTTAACAATAAATTCAATTTATACTTATCGTTTTCATAATTCCTTTCATTACCATGGCTTCTTGTTTTCATTGTAGTTTGGATTTTGAGTCAAACTCTTTGTATATAACTCTGACTGGCCTCATACTCCTGCCTCCTGCTTCATCCATCCAGGTGGTGGGAATGCAGGTATGTACCACCAGGCCCGGCTTCTTTTTCACTTAAGTTCAATGTATGTCTTCTCATTAAAAATGTGCATCCTTGTACAACAACTATATAATGTTTTAGAAGAGATTACTCTGAAGAGACTTAAATACAAGTTGACGTACTGTGCTGAGGGATGTCTTTCTGTATGCTGTGAATGTATGTTGTTTCCATTGATCATGGCAAAGCAGCTTAGAGGCAGGCAGGAAATCCAAGGAGAGACAGGAAAGAAGAAGGGCAGAGGTGCCTGCTGCCCAAGGAACAACATACCAGCACACTGGAAAAGCCACGAAACACGTGGCAAAACATAGATTAGTAGAAATGGGTTGATTTAAGATGAAAGATAAATGGGTTAATTTTAGATGAAAGAGCTAGCTGGCAAGCGGCTAAAGCCATAGGTCACAGTTTCTAAATAATATAAGCCTCTGCGTGTTTACTTGGGTCCAAGCGGCACCTGAGAAACTTAGGGCTATAGTACCGCAATGCCAAAGCCCCTACTCAAACTGTATTTTACTTCAGTATTTAATTCAACCCATTAGAAAGATTCAAATGGTTATATTGCCACTTCCATGTTCATTCTGTGTTACCATCTGTGCAACTGTAAGAACAGGTTCATCATTCTATTCTAACAGTTTAACCCCAGTGAATAGAACACAGATAACTAAATCGTAGTTAACTAGCAGGGCTCAAATGAAAAAGATAGTTTTCATTTGAGATGATGACTAATTGAGTGGACTGGAAACGCTACAGAAGAGAATGCTTTCTACCTAGGGCGTTGAAGGTCGCAATGTGCTCCCACATGTCATCCTGCTTGCTGCAGTGTGGTTGCCAGAGAAGGGCATCAACATCATGGCGTAGACAGAAGCAGGGCATTTCTTTAGGATCCACAATGACTGAGAACAGGTACTGGTTGCTGCCAAGATTTACCTAAAGTGATAAGAATAAGTTTATTCAAAAAATTAGTAAGAGTGATGAAAACTGACATACAACATCATCAGCAACTGTTGTAAAATGAACTTTCCTCCCTCCATTCTTTCTAAGACAAGGTCTTAGCATGTATAGCTCAGACTGGCCTTTACTTGGCAATTCTCCTGTCTCAACCTAGTATTTCACACATGTACCAGTCACCATGCCTTGCTTGCTCTAAACTTTGAGGACCTAACTTGATTGATTCTTCATAGAATTCACAAAAGGAATGTGTTTCTATTACATTCATTTTAAAGCTGAGTGAAGCAGTGATGCACACAGGGCACTTAACTTGTCCAAGGTCAGTATGGTTTTAAGTTACGGACATGAAATTTGGACCCAGAGTCTCTGTTCTTAACCATTATGCTATCTGAAGGGACACACTAGCCCACTCAAAGATGTGGCTCTGGCAGGCCTTGCCCTTCTCCCCATTTCCTCTGCCTTGCTAAAAACCATTATTTTGCAATCCTGAAGCTAGCCCCCAAGGTCTATTCCCTTATTTGACCACTTCCTCCTCCTGAGGTTAACCACCAAGGTCTGGCTATGAAAGTATTAAAGTCCAACAATCAAAAGCCCCTTTTGCTCACCCAATTAGCACGCCCAGTTAAAATTAAACACCTCATCCTAACATGGGCTTCCCTTCTTTACCTTTACAAACTACCATTTTCCTATGGGCCATGTCTGTCTCCTCTCTATCCAGAGATAGTCCTCTGGCCCTTCCCCTTATCCTTCATCCTCTATCTCCTGTCTTTGTCTCTTATTTCCTGCCCTCTGTCCCTCTGGGGCAAATAAATCTCCTTTGTGCTGAGAACTTGGTCTTGGGGTGTTCTTTCCCTGTCTATCCCTGTTAGTAGTTAGTTTAACATATGACAGGAAGTACCAACTGAATAAAAAGAATAGTTTTAAATGACAGAATACAAAGATTAAACTTACTAATGTTAACTTGTCAATATTACCAAGAATAATTAACAGCTACTACAACTTATGAGGATATTCTATATGTCAGGCATGGTCTAAGTACTAATTTCCATAGCTCAAGAGGCTGCTGTTATCTCCACGCAATAGTTGAAAGCAGTACCTTGAGATTTTGAGTAACTGCTTCTATGCTACAAGGAAAAAAAATCACAGTATTAGATAAAGCCTCAGGTCCACTTACCAATTGCTCCACTGTGCTCCTGAATTACAGTATTAATATCAATATTATTAGCAGCTATTACTGTAATATTGATGCTTGAGGAACTCATTTCACTACAAAAATCATCATTTCAGACTCACAGTTAGATCCCACACATAGAGCTTAATAGAGCTTAGTAGAGCTAGGTTGTAGCTGTGTTCTTCATCAGCCATTCTATTATTAAAGAATTAAATATTGGCAGAAATAATATCAAATGTAGATGCTAAGGTTAGGGTTAGGGTGGAGATGCCGAGTGTATGATAAATGCTGACTTGAGTCTATAAACTTTACAGTACAATGAAGAACAAAATGTTGGGTAAGAAGCTGAGACCTGACTTGCACTCTGTAAGGAACACTGTGAAAAGCTGTAGCACAAGGATTTACTGGCTCACCAGGGCAACCTAGGCTCTCAGAGTCCAACAGAAAAGCTGCCCACCCCATGAGAAGAACCTCCAGGAACAGAGATTTTTAGGGAGCCCCAGAGCTCACTCTCTGCAGCAAGGAAATGGGCTGGGGTGCTCTCCCCACTGTTTATCTCTTCTTCCCTTTGCTCTGGACTGTCAGGGGCTAAGTGAGGCTTATTTTCAAAATACCACTATTGAACGGGCCTGCTAAGAAAGCCTCAGAGGAGCCAGCACTGCCGTGGCTTTCCTCACCTCCACTGCTTTTCTCTGAATTACCAGGCTTTCCCAGGAGGACAAACCGAACTGAGGTACAAGTGGGCTACAAGAGAACTTTCATAAAAACACGCTTACTTTCATGAGTGAAGTGAGTATTACCATTACTAGTGAAATAACTAACTCACCCCCAAGCCTCCTATGCATGCGTGACTGGACAGCGTGTGAAAGAACAAATCAACCATCAACCGAAAGCTTAACCAAGAGAGAGATCAACCACCATGCAAACGAGAGGATGAGGATCAGGTCTCTCATCGCCAGCCCCTTATTCTGACTAGATCTTTCTCTTCTTCCACTTGCTTACCCATACTTGTGCTACGGGCCGCAGGAAAATATTATAAGAACTCAGCTGGTTATGGCAAAGCCACTACCTGAAGGGATCAAGGAATTTCTTCAGAGGAAGCCAAATTCCAAGGAGCTTTTGGTGTTATTTGGCTTGTTATGTATCAGTTGTCTTCTGTTATGGAAATCATGTGTGCCTTCATAGCTTTCCCAATTGATTTTTTCCCCGACAAATTGCTAACAGTGTGAACTGATCACTCTTTGCACATATACCTTCATGGTATTTGGAGAACAGCCTCAGGAAAGGCTTCCTTCCCCACTAGCCCATCTGTTTCTTCCCTTTCAGCACTGAAATCAGATATCTCCACATTCAAGGACTAACAGTAATAACAGTCCAGACCACCACATACTAGTCTCCTGATTTAAGGTAAATTCTACAAGGAGACACCGCCTAGGTCAGGTGGACCTTAAGTAATAGCTTGGAACCTAATTTCTTACAGTCTCACTAACTTTATAGACCCTTAACTTCTTACCTAACCACTTCTCAGAATGTAGACTGAGCACACAGATCCCTTTTTGGATATACTAAGCTGTCATTAGCACTCAGTTGACCTCTTCTTTTACCACTCCCATTTTGGATTGTAAAAGAAAGCCTGGTGGTCACTGCCTGAGGAAAATGCTTACTGTCTTTTTGACCCTGTAAGAATTCTAATCTGGTGACCTTGCTTGGGCAGCGGATTGCTATTGCTTGGGTTTATAACTGGATTCCTGAGAGACTTAGAGAGAGTTGGGAGAAGACAGAGAACAGAGAGGTAGAAGGGGAGAGAGGAGGATTTTTGAAGAGAGAACTTGAAGACGAGACAGAAAAGAGACAAGAGAACAGAAGAACTAGATGGGTAAGAACTGGAGAGGAATGAATTAGATGGGAAGAACTAGAATGAAGGGCTAAAAGAGAATACCAGAGGAACAAGATGGAAGATGAGGAAGAGCAAGATGGGGAAGAACAAGATGAGAGAGAAAGAGATGGGAGAGGAACTGATATGGGAAAGAACTAGATGGATGAGAACCTAGAAGGGGCAGAACTAAGATGAAGGAATTAAGATAGAACCTAGAGGGGACAGCAGATAAATGTAGAGAGAAATCAGGCAAGAAAGGAGCTAAAAATGAGAGCAGAATAGAAGCTTGTAGAGAGAGAACTGACACAGAATAATAAAGTGTATGGACTAAGGAGTTTGATGTATATAGATTCATTTATTTTCATCAAAGATTAATTATCAGCGGGTTGTAGATTCTTCCTGGACCCTGGGAGGGGACTATCAATGGGCTGGACCCCCAGAGTCCTCAATATACTTGTGCTACACAGTATGTCAAAGTGCTACAGTCTGCATTTACTGACTTCTCTTGTCCCCTTCACATTCTACTTATCCCCCCAAGACACAGTTCAATCATCACCTTTTCCTAGAACACCTATCATGATCCTAGGAGATGTTCACTTCTAAAAACAAAATATATTGCTATACTAGATTATAGTTAAACATGCAGACCATCTATGGTAGGCCAAATATTATCACCCTGGTACACCCACACCTTAGTCCTCTGAACTTCTCAATATTTCTTTAGATAGTGATGAGGTACGTTTAGGATTTTCAAATGGCAAGATTACCCTGCATTATCTGAGTGAACTCAATGAATTAGTGAGCTTCCTTGTAAGAGGGGGAGAGAAGGTAACGAACATGGATGACAACAGGAGAACAGATACAAAGAGAAGGAGTGACTGCAAGATCCCACACTGTTGATTGTGGGACTAAGGGATGTGCCAAAAGCCAAGCATGTAAGTAGCCTCTGAAAGTGAGAAATGAAGGAATGAAGTCTCCCTTAGAACTCCTCAAAGCAATACAGACAGACCTCACAACTATTTTAGGACTTCTGACATTCAGAATTAAACTGGAATGAATTACCATTTTTTAGTTACTAATTCATGCAATTTGTCACAGTAAGAGTAACCCAAGATAGTGGCCATGTTAGTAAATATCTTAAGAACTAAAAGTTTGTCTTGTTTCCATATTCTATGTCTTTACTGCATAATTATTTTAAAACTATTTTCACCAAGGCTCTGTACTCAGATATGAGAATACTATAGTCTATTTTACAGTTAGAAAAACTAAAAGACTTTTAAGTGAAATATCTGACAATCAGATTCTTAAAGAATATTCCTGGTGGGTAACAGGCTCACTGGTGCAGATGGGTTTCTGTGCTTTCTGTTTTGATCTCCCAAATTCGGCTACCCATCCTGCCCTGTCCCCACTCTCCTGCCCCCTGCCCTGGCTTTCAGTGTTTGTGACAAGATCCATGTACTTCCTTCTAATACACCCACATCAAGCTCTTTAGAGGACATGACTCCAACAGCCCAGCTCCATCTCATCAGTTTTCTCTGTACTTTCAGCACTACAACATTCCATATTTTAATTGATGAAGACAACTCACCTCTACAAGTTACTTTCTGCTTTGGCTATAGTTTGCTCTTTTCTTCATGTGGAAATTTAAGTAATGCAACATGGGGTGATGTAAATTTCCCCCTGAAGCACCTAGCCTCCTGTCTATGCTGGGTGTCATCTGTACTCAATACAAAATTTCTCTTGACTTGTGAGTTACTGAGAAATGTATCCCCGAATTTCCACATATTTTTGCATCATTAACTTATGGCCTGAACCTGCTAGCCAGAAAGCATTTTCTATCCATTCTCTTAGAACTTGTTTTTGTTTGGTCTTGAATATGTTCTATTTTGATGAGCATTCCTTGGCTCTTTTCAGACTCTCTACTTAGTGTTA